AAAATTCTAAATGTTCCTGCTATGTATTTTTTCATACAACTTTCTCTTTTTGCAAAAATATTTCACAGACTTGTTCAAATTTAAAAGTAGTTACAATTATAACTTTATCTACCACATACTTACTACTTTTTGTTAATTAAGCGCATACGTAAGCATCGGGATTAAATGCAAGAAAACGATGCTGAGGCGATGAAATCCATGTACTTGTGCGTCGTGCGCACTTGTACGAGTCGGTTATGCACAGCTAATTAATGCTTTCCGCCGACATGCTCGAGGCGGGCAAATCAAAAACAAGTATTCATGGTACTCGTGTATCACGAAACAACTCCTTGCTCCGATTAACCCTTCCATCATCGGGACCACCCGTTTTGGCCTGCTCTTCCTATTAACGTGTCGGCCGCGTAACTTTTCGTGGAACATCGCGAACGCTTATACTTTTTATACTCGTTAATGGTAAAGAGGGCATATCCAATATAACTGTAAAATGAAAATATTATTAAGTAAAAATGGTAACGCAAATCGCAATAGTAATGGCATATATGACAACCCAATTGGAAAACATTACAGCCAGGAATATAGTATAATAACGGACATTGTGTGTGTGTGTGTGTGTGTGTGTGGTAAGTGCTGTTATCAATAAAATCACACAAGTCTTAAAAGCCCGCAAAATTATAATTATAATTTTAGCATACGCAATGTTACAAAAACTTTCATTCGATATTCTAGTCCTAATGAGTAGAACATCAAAGTATTGTCCGAGAAATTAGAATTGTTCATTATTGGATAAAATCCGATGTTAAAGTGTTCATTATTGGATAAAATCCGTTGTTAAAGTGTTTGTCTTTTAATATACATAAACTATGATGTATGTATAAGTAATTATATGTGTAGCTAATCGCAAAACAAAAGAAGAGTTTTCAAAGCATGATGTGCATCATCATCTATTCGTATATTTCTATCGGCACGTATGTAACTACCAACAACTCTCACGTGTTCGAAGATACAGTCTTCAATTTCTTCTAAATCAAATTTAAAATTAAATATTAGAAGTTTAATTTTCATATATTTTTAATATTAAATTTCTTGAATGTTATATTCTTTTATTTCTATTTTTAAAGCATAATTTCGCAACGTTCTCAATTGTTAGTCTATTATTATATAGTTTTTAACGATATAAATATTTCAACAAATATATTTCTTTCTTTTAATGTGTAAGGGAATATTTCTCGTATACTCTATCTATTTGGTTTTATGATGCGTGGCATCAAACGAGCCAATCGAGAATCGTTCCGGTACAACAATCGCGAAACTATAGTTCTTGTCGGGGGCTACGAGTCATTAAACAGTTGGCGCTAATTGTTTGATATTTGCTAGAACATAGATCAAGATTGGAACGTGTAGGCGTTAATCTATATGGACGTTGGTCAACCGCAGTAATTACATATTCGCAGCAATCGCAACAATCTGAGCATCACATGCAAACGGATATTTGCGAATATTATCGGCGCTTAAACATTGTCCATAATCCAAGTTGTACCACTTAAACAGGCAACACACTATATAGTTAACTCGATTTTAATTAAAGTCGTAATATATGCCTTCATCGCGGATTTAACGACCGGCTGTCTTTGCTTCCTTCTTTTAACTCATCTCCCACAGCCAGTAGGATTACAATTGACACCGTGACACTGCACACTCGTTTTGAATTATGAGACTCGGTGCGAACGTCCTCTTTCAAGCTACAGCGCCAACGGGATTTCTCTTGGGATAGGTTCAGAAAGAATTTTTCTTAAAAACGTTAATCTTTCTCTGTGTCACATACACACAGTATCATTATTCAATTTAGGAACTGTTAATTTTATAATTGCAATAATTTAACTTTATTTCTCTTCAATTTTATTAAAATTTCTAGAAGTATAGATAAATATATACTCAATTTCACTCTACCGAGGGAGAAAAGCAACTAGATTTCTTACCACCACTCCATCTGCATAAAATCATCTTCTCTTCTGTTCTCGGAGTCAAATATGACAAAATGATTATATCAATCGAGAAAATATTTATCCGTTCTAATTGTAAGTAGAACGACTAAAAAAAAGGAAGAATTATAAGATTCACTGACGATCCGCTATAATTCATTCGACCGGAACGTCTCACACTTGTCAAAAAATTGTATAATTTGTTACTTAGGTGGTCACGCACAGGTGCGAGACGTTACCTGCAAGAGCAAAGGATTCGATCGCATCTTCATATTGATCGGCACGCCGTTCATCTAATAATCAGGCAGTCTGAAACGATTGCTGTCAACATTGGAACTGGGAGCTTGGTGCAGCGATGCGTTTAATCCGGCAAAAACGATCGGCGGAGTTAACGAGCCGCGAACAGCCTTGAAATCGGTATTGGGTTTGCTCATGCTATTCATGTCTTGTCGCGATGATCATTATATATCGCTCACGCTTTTGCTGCAATCTTGAAATTCAGTATAAAATGCTGAAATAAATCTTTTTAAAACGTGATTAAAACATTCTTTATTAACGCGATTGAAACATTCTTTACAAAGTTTGTAGAAAGAAATTGTTTAACAAATAATAATTGCGAATACACAATTGTAACTACGAACAGATATAGGATAATAAAAAATCCACTGCTTCATAATAATTAATATTAATTGTGTCCTTAACGAATTTTTTTGCAAATAATCTTTTTACAATAATCTAAATTACTTTTTCTTTCTCTTTCTGTTAAAAGAATATATCACCGCAAATAAACGTTGCATATTACCAATCAACTGATCAATAATCCTTTTCTTTATTCCGTTTTGATAGAAGGAATCGATCATCATCATATTATTACGAATGATAATACTAATTAATCACAGCTTTACGATTAGAGTTACGAAATTGAGATAATATTTCTTTTATAGATCCATTAATGGTTTTTTGGTTACTTACGGAAATGAATCGTGAAAACCGCGGTTATTAACAAGTAAGATAAAAAATGAGGCATGAACTGCGTATTTCTTATACTTTTTATTCTGTAAAACAAAAAAGATATCATACACAACAGAACTAAAATATTGGAAATCAGCTGCGAAAGACTGTAGTCTTAAAATCTTTCTCTACAATAAATTTCTAGAACTAACTTCTAAAAAACTATAATTTTGACATAATTGGATCCTGATTCTGACGATTATAACAGCTGTGTAAACACGTGAATAGCATGTAAAGTGTAAAGCAAGGGATTGGTATGCTACTGTCAATCTGTGCGTGACGTTGATATTTCTCATTCATAACTACGGTTATCTCTGTGTCCATTGCACTCGCGACCACGATTACACAGCTATGTTCTCGATAGCGAAATGCATTCATGATTTCACGTCGCATACCGTATCTATTTTCCATGGGTCAATTACATAGACTGCGATATGACTTTATGCTATACCGTTAGAATAACTAGCATCCCTCGATGACAGCATTATTTCAATAACCAGAAAAATCCACTATAAACAAAATTTTCTTAAATAGACTGTCTATTTTATCAAATGCATTAAAAGATTTCATAAATATAGCAACAAGTTTTTATCCCTCTTTCTGTGTTGTGTCGATACTAAAGTCAAATTTTTTGACAATCAAATTTTTAACATCTCACTCAATACATTTTTTTTTAACTTGACAGGATTCTCGCATCTGACCGATGAATTTGTTATCAGTATTTTAATAATCAACGTATATTGTTCAATTTTTACTTATATATTCTTTAACTTGTTAACATTTGACAATTATAATTCATTCAATTATAATTGAAAATCAATTTTTTTTTTCACAAAATTTCCTCAAGAATTTAGATATTCACAATCTATTATATTAGATTGTTTCAAAACATATTTTTCTTTCCTGTATTTTCCAGAAGAAATCAATGAAGAATTATTAGGATTTTTTACTTTCTTCACAAAATGTTTAGAAGTAAAGATCGAAAAAATCTATATGTAAACATTTTTAAATAACAAACGTAAACTTATAAGAAACGTCGATAAATCATGTCGATTATGTTAACTCTTGTTAGCATAATAGCCATAGTTGTTACTGTCGTGTTCAAGATTACAGTTATAAACATTAATAGATAAAAATGCATGTAATAGTTTGACTTTTTACTTTTACGCAATTCCTTATCCATGTCGTTAATTATTACCATATATATCAGCATAAATCTATATATAATCTGTATATGCAATTGGCTATTACGCAAATGGCTATACATAAATCGCATTGTGCGACACAATGCTAGACATTTATTGTATTTATCATCTTTAGATTGATTATATAAGCCGTACGTTAGGATCAAGCTATCTTTACGAATATGTACCGGTACAACTATCAGTTTCAAATTATTTACATATTCGTAACTATTAATAACGGTTTTCACGTTACGTTATTATATATCGTCTCGCGATAATCTTTAAATTGAGAGATTTACAACGATAACAGAATATAAAAGATACTAACAGCAAAGCCAGTCCGAAGAAGTTTATTACCTACTATTTCAATTAATATCTGTTCAGCGCACGAACACATTCTTTTACAATCTGTGAATGTTCTACATTTTTATATATGCTCTACATTTTTATATGTCTCTATATGTACTTATACAGACAGGCAATATCACCATTTTATTGTTTGCTCTAATTTTTACAAGAGATTATTACTATTTCCTTGCAATTTCGCGCCATACCGTGTAATTCTAATTTTCACAAACGCTTACGTATTTGAAACTTCATAATCATGATTTCTCCTAGCAAATCAATTTTACGCTCGAGACCTCCTTGGGATTTGAAGCGCAACTTGGCAGACGGTGCCCGGATAATTTGCTCGCTAGACCATGGTAGTCGGATAAATTAAAATAGATCCGGTTTCACACAAGTGTAGCACCGCGCGCCGACGTAACGACTCGCGCACAACGAAATTAATGCGGACTAATGCGAGGCAGTGTGTTTATCTTTACAGGGCAGGACGGTGTTTCGTCGTGAGAGGCTGGGACCTCCAGGATGCCAGGGGTGTGGAAGTTGCTACGTACGCTGATCTATATGGTAAGTGCACACAGCTGATTTGCAATTGGACAAACGCCAACGGGTAACGATCGCGTATATTTCCGAGATTCATGCAATAGCTTTCGACTTTTTAATTTTGAATTAGTTCCAAACTAACGTCCTATATATTTACTGAACCAAGTAGGTATTCTATCACTTAACGTTATTCCGATTTTCAAGCGACTCGTTAAAGATTAATGTGACGTTTAACACGCTTAGATTAAAAATATGTATCTGCAACGTTAATTCGGTACGATTCCCATTGGTCAGATAGAAACGCAGACGATACAAAGTCTAAAATTGAGACATAAGAACGCAAAAGACGTCTTATGTCCCGATTTTAGACATTTTGTATTGTCTGGGAAGATACCAAATAATTATACGAAGCGACGCTTCCGAAGTATCGATTTATTCGTCCTCAATTGGGAAGATTCATTAGCGCGGAGTTATTGATGTCGATGGATGAAATATCAGATTCGCTGTCTTAATAAACGCGCAACGAGCAACGCTAAGAGGGACAGGAGCACAAACAGCGGTGTATCGACTAGCGGGGCATGGCGTTACGTAGACACGAGATACGAGACTAACACGAGACTCGTGACTTGCGTTTTGTCCCGCGCGTCTTCTAGCGGTTTTCTTTTGTCGGTCAATTAAGCCCTAGAGCCGTATACACACTGTCAATCGATCGACCACCGTGAGCCGCGCCGATTCCGATAATGGGCTATAATTTCAAGTGTGTTTGGCCAATGATACGACGCCGCCGTAGATCCTATAATTAATGAATAACGGTCTCACATGACTCACGTGCGGGCCAAGCCCGGAGTCTCGTAACAATCACTCGATCGCCTAATAACCGGGATATATGGTTTCAGCAAGAATCAAAGACCGTGCAATATCGAGCAGGAAATAAAGAGGGCCATCATTTCCACAGTGGCGGCAGTCTTACCGTCGGGAACTCGCGTTTCCATTTAAATGACAATGCGATGACGCGGCAGGAGTCGTCGCGACAGCTTGCAAGCGGATATTCATGCCTACTCTAGGTACCGTTATCGCCGTCTTGAAGCCCCTTCTCCACTCAGTCCCATTCCCCTCATTCCTTCTTACGTTATTCAGAACTCCACGTGAAGACTCCTATCGCATAGACGGTACCGTGCGACGAAACATCTATCTCCGTGACCTTGCAATATCGGTGCGCGTCTCGTCCATAAACTGTCGACGATAATTATATATCATATCGCTAGAATTTCTTCTGATGTAAATCGGAGCAGACGAGATTAGAAACAGGAATACTATCGTAATCTATAATTTAAGAAAGAGCGGCAAAATCGAATGATAATTCATGTAAGCTTGCAAAGTAGAAATCGTTGTAGCCAATAGCGACGAACCATTGTACAGAACTGTACTTCATGGTCTTTCCCGATCTTTATCGTCAAGTTATCCAAGATAAGCCAGTAGCTTAGAGCGGAGATTCGACCACTGATTACATTACCGTAATACGAATCTCCAAAGGATTGAGGAAGGTCAGTAAAATCGGACTCCATTCGCATCGACCTCGATCCTCCTTCGTACGATCGGCACACGCGAGCGTGCGGCCACCGAGGCAGCTATTTCCGCTGTCACGAGTACAATTGACTATCCGCAGACGGGCATTAGCATTCGAACGCCACCGGTGCCGCGATGGGAAACTCACCTACCAATGTGCCTCACGTTAGAATACCTCGGAATACCAATGCACACGAGGTCGTAACCAACAAGTCCCGAGAAGTCGTAAACCGCATCTTTTACTTCTGCCCCCACGGCGGTGTCCACGTGGTGCAATATAAATATTATTTGTCATTTTTCACGCGTTTAAAAAAAAAGATAATACACTTGTAGCAACGTACTAGTAAAGATCTTGTTGTTCTTTTTAAACGATATTAAATTATTAACGATAAAATATCATAAATAAAGAGGCCAATCTCCATACCATAGCAAATCGTTGGAGTAGCAGATAGAGGTAGTTATGTACTTGCAGGGGTAGTTCTGACATGAGTCAATGATCGCGTACATCGCAACACAGCGCGGTGCCGCAGCGCAACGCACTCGGCAAAAAGGCCGGTACGCGCCGTACGTACCCGCGTCCGCCAGGTGCGTAATCATTTCTAATGAAACGTTGTCATTTAACAGTGCGATTGTAAGAGCGTAGAAACGTGTTTTCACTTGCGCGAAAAACGGCGACCGTTAATGCAGCGGTAAAGACGCTTCTCCCGTTACGGCGATACCGCGCTCGCTCGTTCACGTAGTGTCTAGGATTTTCTAAGACCACAAGTGCATGTGTGTAGTATCCCTTAATTTCCAGAAACGTTTAGAACAAATATACGTCTAATGTTCCATTGGACTATCGACGGTATCACGATTATCCGTAATATGGTGTGGTATTAGTTGAGTCACGGTATCGTTTAAGAACGGACGATAAATTGTAATTGTGTAATTAATGTTGCACAATTACCCACTTATTCGAATGTAAAAATAAAAAAGTTATATAAAGTTTATAAAGTATCTAGATCAGGTTAGATTTAACAGACCAGATATATTGTTCTACTTGTAAAGTTTCATTATTCAAATTCACATTATAATGTGGTAATACTACAAATGAATCTCGACAAAGTACTGTTCGGAAACGTCGCTCGGATACCTGCGATACCTCGGATTCATCATCTGTCCTTTAAATTTTAAACAAGGACAGATGATGAATCCGAGGCATCGGAGGCATCCGAGAGCGACGTTTCCGAACGCAGCTCTTATGTCACGAAAGATATGTCATTAATTGAATTAAAAGAATCAATAATAGTGTAATATTAAAATAATAAATAACAAAAATGATAACAAATTTAATTATCACAATTCAATCTTTCCAAGCTATTTAATTCATTCGGTATCACCGTGAAAACCAATCAAGCGCCGTAACCAAAAAACAATATGGTGTTAATAATTTTACTAGTAATTTTGCTAAATATTTATACGAAAGTAAATGACGTTTGCAGTTGTCTTCGTTTAGTTCAGAAAATAAATAAAAATTCAAGATAAAAGTAGTATATATGTCGTACTTAATTTGAGATAGACTCTTGTCGCGCGGCTCGTGTCTCGTGATTACCTCGTATACTGGTATTAACGGCGAAGCAAGAGGTATACGCGAGATTGTCAGTTTCGATTGAGCGTGAGAGGTATTTATGACTAAATCGTATGGATTATCTTGGGTCTAATGGACGGGCGGAGCGAAAATATACGGGTACTTAAGTTTTCATTACAATCCCATCCTCGGAAACTTCTCTAAATGCACTGCGAGTACAAAAAAGAACTTGTTGCGATTACGGTAATGAACTTGATTTATAGCCAACAATTTCCAACGTGAACGTTTAGGGACGAATGTTTCAATTAAACTGAACTTCTTTTTCATCTCTAGGAATTTTATGTCACGATAATATTATCTCAAAATAATCAATCTACTTATTATTGACAATTTATAAAATATTTCTTTTAATTACGGATACCGCAGATAGACTAGAAAAAAATCGAATGTTCATTAAGCTATAAACATTAAAAATACGTTTACATCAATTTATGTAAAAACATTTTAGCGTTATTTATCCGTCAATTTTATTCATCCGTCTATAACGATCGTAACGTCTCGGTTAAATGTTTTTGCCAGATATCAAACAATCTTGAAGTACTTTCCGATTCATAACCCTCCTGTGAACTCTACCGCAGAGTAATTTTCTTGTACCGGGAGGAAAATAGGATCGGCAACCGATTCTTACCGTTTTACAACGCGTAACTTTGAAGCCGCAAGCTATGTAAATACATAGTGTATAGGTACGTGTCGGACAATGAGGAGGAAACGAAGGGATAACAGAAATAGAGAATGAGAGAGAAAGAGGCGGAGAGAAGAAAGGTCATACAAGTTCAAAGGAGAATATTCGACGTACAATATTCTTTAAATGCGCAGATGGTTGGCTTGAAGAACGTCAGTAGCAACAGCGACATTTGGCCGTTGGAGAGGCCAGAGGGTATGCCGGCCATCCAATCTTTGGAGGTGATGTGCGGAAAAGATCATATGGATGTCCATCTCTCGTTCTCGCAACCCTTTGAAGGTATCGTCTCGTCTAAAGGTCAACACGCGGATCCACGTTGCATCTATGTTCCACCGTCCACCGGACAAACGTTCTTTTCCTTCCGGATAGCTTATGCAAGGTGAGTGCATGAAATTAAAACAAAAATGTATCTGTGTAAGTACTAGCATGGATAACTATAATTTTATTGTCAAATATCATTTTATTGACAAGGACTCTCATCTACTTTGCGTTCTCTTTTAGCTATAATTTATGAGAGACTACAATATTATTATGACATAATTTTTAAGTAAAATTATTTGCTTTTCTCAACCCTATTGAAATTATAATATCTATACAAACTTTAAAAACTGTAGAAAATGTATTACATTACTTATATTTTTTTTATTTCAGATGCGGTACGAAACCGGACATGCACGGACAGTTTTATGAAAATACCGTGGTGGTTCAGTACGACAAAGACTTACTCGAAGTTTGGGACGAGGCTAAACGTCTGCGATGTGAATGGTTCAACGATTACGAGAAGACCGCGTCAAAACCACCAATGGTTATCGCGGATCTCGATGTGATACAGCTGGATTTTAGAGGTGCGAGCATCTTACGATTACGCATCAAATGCTATTTCTTAATGGAGATAAATCATCGACATACATTCTCCGAGCTCTCATGACGATACTATTGAAACAACCGCATGACATCCGCGTGCACGGGAAATTCTCCTTCGATTGCCATCTGTTGCTGTAAACAATCTTTAGATAGCAGACAGAATTATGTGCTCTCTAAGAGTTTCAAGTTTCTCTGAAATATCGTAGTTAAACATCCAAGTGAATGTGCCACGTTTCTCTATAGTCATTTTCTATTAAAGCCGCACATATGAATACTTGGCTTTTGAACGTGCATTACGAGGGATAGATAGCGGTACATTTAATGCGCGCAAACATATCACGAGATACACGCTGCAACTCGTGCACCCGTTTGCGGTTTGCCACAGGTGAAGCCACAGTCACATCGGTTAATTTCAGTTTATGTAACATGTATAAAGCGTGGCACGCGCGGAAATATTAGGTATATAGAGTGCTACACAAAGAGAAGAGTAATTATATAACTAAATTAATTAATATGGCACTCAATTCCTTTTGGAATATAAATTATTTTCCAAAACTTGATATGTGGCTAGTTTTAGATTTTTTTTTTCGTCGCGAGTAACGAGCAAATCCATCACTGGTTACAGGCGACAACGTAGACTGCTGGATGGAAATTCAGCACGGCAAGGGTCCATGGGCGCCACCCGTGTCCGGTATCGTGCCACTCGGTTCCACTCTTACTCTGGTCGTCGCCATAAACGATTATCGAGGTAACGAGTTTTTCGGAAACACGAAACTTTCCGGGCGATCGGAGCGAGCACTAACGTAATTTTCTGTTATTTAACCGAGCACAGGTGAGTTCGACATGCGGGTCAAGTCGTGCGTGGCTTCAGACGGCGGCGGTCACACGATACAGCTCAGCGACGAGTTCGGCTGCGTGCTAAGACCGAAGATGATCAGCCGGTTCTTGAAGGCGCGCGGCTCGGACGACCGCGCGACCGTGATCACGTACGCCTTCTTCCACGCGTTTAAGTTCCCGGACGCGTTAAGCGTTCATATCAAATGCAAGGTAATCATGCATGGTTTTTATAGATTAAATATAATTGTTGACTATATATATAAATCTCTGTCTGTCATTTATCTTTCGAATTTCCTTTAATAAATTTAAAAATATTTGTATAAAAAGGTGGAAATATGTCGGCACGGTTGTCTGGATCATTGTCAATTGAGCGGCTCTATAGCTCATTATATTCAAGAAAGAAAGGATCATGTACGACCGCAGTATATAGAGAATATGGCAACTTCCATCCCTTCCAATGACAACGATAACAGTAGCTCGGACAAAGAAAACGAAGACTCGGATGGCAACGTGGAGCATGGAGATGGTTCTCTGTACGATGATGTCATTCAGAACGGGGACGATATGACGTCGATCGGCGGACATTTTCTAGATGTTGAAAAGTCGATTCCAAAAGCTCAAGCACAGACGAGTAACCGGTTACCGTCGACTGTGACTGAAACGCAGCGCGATAGCGAACCGGATGACGTCGATTTATCAAAACCATTTATGGTAAACGTAAAAACAATATATCTGTCTCAATCGATCAACATACATCATAAACCACATCGCCTGCTTCTTTTTTAGGAACCATCGCGGATGAATAAATATGAGAGCGAACAGGATCAATTTCCGCATGGACCACGGAATCTGGAGGAAGACAACGGCGCGGTGCCGGTGACGCCGCTCTCCGCCAGTGTCACTCGTCGAAAACGCTCGGTGACGGTGACGGATAGGAAAGCGCGTAGCGCTGACGTCGGTGTCAGCGGTATTTATGAGGTCATCTCCGAGGCGGATCTAGCCTTTAGTCCGGACACGCACGCCGAGGCAGTGACAGTTTTTCAGGGCAGGATACGCGAAGAGGTCGTTTACGGGATCTGTCTGCCAATGCCAGGTTTTAGCGCGCTTTTCATCGTCGTCGCGCTGTCGGCAGTCGTTTCCGCCCTCGTTGCAGGCGCGATGCTGCATCGGCTGCAGACGCAGCGGGATGTCACCGCCGGCAGCAGAGAGAACAACCAAACCGGAGTACACGCCAATAATAACGGCTGGTTGCCTTACGGTTTGCTCCGCGTGCGCTGCACGACGCGACCCACTCATCATCCCAATGAGCTACAACAAAAACAGTCAAACATAGCTTCGCAGGTTGCTGCGGATTCATCGGTCGAGCGAGGCTGACAACATCTTAATCCCGGCCTTAAGACGCGTGGGCCAGGTGCGTCTAAGGAGAGACAATGTGCAATAATACGCTGTACAAAGTATCGTAAGTACATCACTGAGCTGCGTGCGATTATAAACAGGCATTTATTGAGAGAAGAGATACGCAGAGATAAGCTAGAGGAAAAACAGAATACCATTATATTTGGTACTATTGTATTCAAGTATCCTCCTGCGAATCGCGCGACGACACCAAATTCTCGCGAATCGCAGTCGTACGAGGACTCTATCTCTGATAGATATTTACGTTACTCTGAGATTTTATCCAAGTTATTTTATATAACTTGCGTAACGTGAATATCATCTCAATCTCGTAACGCGATGTTTTTTCAGTCGTTATGTCACGTGTCGTAGTTTTCAGTAATCAATTTAATACTAATAAATACCGCATTGTTATGAATATTTCTTATGAATATTATGCAATGACGATATTATGCCCCTTTTTATAATTCTCTTTATAAATAAATTTATATAATAATTCTTAATTAATAAATAAATTATTATAATTTTTAATAATTATAAATCATTTAAAATAATTTTAAATTATTATACAGAAATTATGCGTTTCGCGGGTTATCTCTGTATCCAAATTTTTAGAATGTCAACGTTTCGTAAACATTGCAATTCATTTCATCGGGGCGATAAGCATCATGATACTAACAATAAGTCCTTCAAATACAGTCCTTCCTGATACAGTACCAGGCTACTCCTCGCCCTGATGGTTTTGGACACAGAGATAACCCGCGAAACGCATAAATTCTGTATACAAAGTGTCCGTGGAAGCCTCAAGAGTATTATTAAATGATTATCGTTAAAAAATAAATATTGAAAAATATTTTGCTCTATGGAAAATACAATACAGATTATAATACATATATATATTAAGAAACTGCAAACAGATGTGCTGTAGAGAGGAGTGCATTTATTAAAAACTATCTAAAATTTAATCTAAAATTTAAAATAAACCTACAATGATGAAAAATTATTAGAATAATTTTTAGAATAAAAATCATTGATAAACAGATCGTGAAAGATTTTTGTGAAAATTTTAATACTCTGATTAATAATAAAACTGGGTATATCGTAAAAAAAGTAATTTAAAGAAATTAATATCGGAAATGTGCATAATTATTGTATTAGTAGTATATTTATTAAAGTTTATAGATTAAAGTATTTTGTCGTATGAATAGTAAAAATAATACACAGCTATGATTACTCTGACGCATTGAATTATCTTTTCAAGATTTCGATGAATTCAGAATTCTATCGACAAATACACCAAGAGTTACAAAGCGTCGTCTATAATCTAAATAAATTCTATTTAGATTATTAACAGGTATTGTTATACTGTTTATGAGTCTTAGGATACTGATTGTGAGTCGTGTTCGGTTTCACGACATTCTCGTCATGTAGAGATTGTTAATGATTTGCTCTAAGGAGGCTAAAAACAATATTTATCTCGGATGTGTATGAAATATGTTAACAATTTTTTGGGGAAACTGATATAAAGCAAATAAATATTCAACTCCTATTATATATTTCCATTTCTTCATCTTCTAAAGTTTCCACAACCTATGGATTCGTGTGCAAGACTTTGAGTTTACAATTTTTTCTTTTATATTCCATGTATAGAGATAAACTGTTGCAAATCGTAGTATATTAAGTTACTGCCACAAATATAACTTTTGTTATATAATATTAAATTTTTTTTATACCTGATATACGTAAGTAAACACATTAGAAATGTCCATACCGAAATGTCTCGCAAAGACCTTTTCCAAAGATATTTACGATATGGACGTATTTTAAATCATAATTTATATCATATAAATCTTATTTCTTTTCTTTCATCTAAGAAACGAGACTATCTGTGTGTGTGTGAAGAGATCAGATTTTAATAAATTTGAATAATGGATGAGCGATAAAGTTTCATTTCTTTACTCGTCCAAAGGACTTGCGAGTTGCCAAGTAAATAATATTAAAACTAGATCTTAAGTTATTCTTACATGTATACACGTGTAAAAATTTATAATACGCTTAGATTGAGTAACTTTAATTCACAAGCGTAACATGTGTACGATCAGCACTGAGAACTAGATAAAACGTGGCATCGCCTGACAACGAATGAAAAACATTCGAACAAAAGTAAGGCGATATAAAACGACTATTTAGTTAAAATATTACGTTTTTATATATATGTAATATATATAAATATAAATAAATAATAATGGTAATAAATAAATATATTTACAGCACCTTGTGAATATAGGATTTTTTAATTCCCAATTATAATTTATTCTGTATACAAAAATATATCAACTGCCTTTATTGATTAATAAAGTAACTAGAGATTTATATATGTGAAAATAATTAAATGGTTTACAACTTTTGAACTCCTTGCGTATTACTATACCTTATACACTAAGTAGATCACGCTGTAAATATAAACTAATGACTGCACACACGATTTTACATATAACTTATTGAATTGCCTCGTTTTCTTTAGCTTTTCACATTTTCAACAAATTTTCTTAGCAATACTACATTGATCATAGTAACAATAGTGCGACAAATGATAAAACCTTAACATCATGATGACATTATCATTCATACCTTTTTGAGAGTTGCTTAACATTCATACAGCACACATGAAACAAAGCAAACCTCATCTCATAACCAGACTACGTAAATTTATTATTTGCTGTTTTACATAATATCATAATACAATATTTTGGCACTTTAGATTTTTCGCAACTTAAAAAAAAAGCTATCAAAGTAAACTTTCAACAATTAACTATACTTGTGTATAATTGAAAATTTCTCATTTTATATTATACATTTTTTATGATACATTTTTTTATCAATATCTTTATTACCTTTAATTTATTGATTGTAATAGAATGATCATACTTTCACATTTTGTAATTTTATTTTATTTGTTTACTTCATATAAAATTTTCTATAGGATTCTACTTATCTTTAGAAAATTTAGGTAAGTAGATAATAAATATAAATAATATTATTAATAATAACATGTTAACATTGCTTAAACACTATATTGTAGACTATTTTTGCGAAATTTCAACTTTATTATTACCTAGTCGCATGTTGAGCAACTATTGTTAAGAGAATCCCAAATACCAAAAAAGGAGATAAAAACAGAGAAAGAAATTACAAAATATAAATACGTCGATTGATAAATAATAAACGCAGAAACAGGTTTGATTATCTTTGACTAAATCTTCGGCGTATCGCCTATGTTTTTGCCTATAAAGGCCTGAGCTTAAGTTTCATTATGACGAAGCACAACTCTATAGAGACCATAATATGCATTAAATGAAAACGATACGAGCACTACAATTTATTGTAAAATAATGCCGCTGGTACTACCACGTTAAGAAAACGTAGCCTTTATATAGAGTCGTGCTTGCGACACTCGATAGCCTCTATGAAACCTGAAGATTCGCAATTTCGAAGACCAGTCTACATAAAATTCCCCTCCTGGCCTCCTGGTAAAAAATGTTCCACTATATATGCACGACTCGCTCAAAATTCTGAATACACATAAAAATATACATACAAAAAAATACTGTCGGTTAATGGCCAAAGATATGTATTTAAAATAGTACAAACGATTTCCACCCGTTTACCGCTAATTTTTTGTCTTGGCAAAGTTGTATTCGCCAAGGCTAATTTCTTTTTCTCTGCACGATCGCATTCGTTTTACGGAAGTACTGACCTCCAACGACGTTTCAACGATATCGCAGAAAACCATGTAAACCGGTTTTGAAGAAGAGGACCATGAAATTCGACGGTTCCTCTTCCAACATTGAGATATCGGGATCACCAAAATTCGAGATGACTCGTGGATAAATATTTCTATGAGTAGAAGCATGTTCTCGAAGATTTCTTCGTCGCGCCATTCTGTTCAACGTTAGAAAACGCCGTGGATTTCCTGGTCCTCGCCGAGAAGGGCCTGAGACGCATAAAGAGGTAAGCGGACAACACACACGAGGAAAGTAGAACGGCGAGTAGCACGATGAGAGTAATCGCAAATCCAGGAGTGGTCATGCAGATCATAGTCGAGCTGGCTGTGTTTTCGTGACGTTGCGGGAATACCATCGTTGGTCCATTCAGTTCGCTATTGTTGTTCTCATCGATGGAGAAGGTCAGGTCACCGGTCGAGACAACTCGAATAATTCGATTCACACCAACGGCCTTTTGTGGATTGTGCACTATCTCTCGGGATTTTCTTCTCCTTTCGTCTCGGGGCCGTCCAGCTGCTGCCTGTAAATAGGCCTCTAACGGCAGCGGAATCGGAGGCGGAAGACCGTATCCGACGTCAGGATGTTCATTCGTCGGAGAATGATGATGGTGATTCTCTAGAAGACCCTGACTCTCCAAAAGTGGTAACGATTCCGAACACTGTTCCGGACATTGGTATCGGCATATCTGTATAGTACACTGGAAATGAACCTCCATGGAGTCTGGAAACTTGAACGCCTGGAAATGAGCGTACGACAGTACTGACGCCGAAGCGCCGAAATTCTTAATTTTTGTGAATCTAGACATCAATTTAGGTCGTGTGATACAGCCTCGCTGATCCACCAGTTGTATTGGCGCACGTTTGCCATCGTGAGCCATACAATTTCTCACGAGCATATCGAACTTGGAATCGTCATCCTTAATCGCGAGTACCATCGTCATAGTCTGGCCGATCTTGACAAGTCCCGAAACCTCAGAAGCCCATGGTCCCTTGCCAACTTGTATCTGCATCCAGCATCCGACATTATCACCAGCAAAATCCGCGCGAACCACATCCAGCATATCCACAGGAAATGGACGGAAGGTGACTGATTTCTCATACAGATCATGCCAAGTGCAGCGCAGTTTACGCGCCTGATCCCAGACTTCTTGCACTTGAGGATCGTATTGCACCACTATGATGTTTTCGAAAAACGTCCCAGATCCAGATTCAGCACCATAACCATACAATCCATTCTCCGTATTGCCGGCCGTACCGCACGCATGTATGCTGATTTCGAAATTGACGGACGTGCGACCAAGTCCCGCAGGCAGGTGAACACAATTAATATTGCTGTAGTGGCCTTTACTAAAGACTATGCCGTAGAATGGCTTATCGAAACCCAGATAAACCTTCATCAGACTCTTTTCACATTTCACGTCCAGCGACACGATCTTCGGCATATCAGGCGTTGGAGCTGGCCAAGGTTCGACGCCAACCGCGGTACTAACTCCGCCACCAGTGGTATAGATCTTATCCATAGCTTCCGATTGCGCTTTAGAAGGCGGCAATGGCGGCGGTGGACCATGATAAGCGACATTATGATGCGGACGCGGTAAACTCAATGCACCTCGACCCGGCGCTAGTAGAGGATGACCTCGAAGACCACCCGATTTATAATGATTTCCT